TCAAAATAAATCCTCGTATTGGCCTGAAATGCCTGACACGCCAGGGGAGGCTGTAATCCCGGTAAAGTCAATCTGACTGAAAAAATGCAATGTATACGGTATGCGAATGCGAATGCAAAATGCGTCGAAACATAAACCAGATATGGGAACCGGTTGGTCAAATTTTGGGGTGCAACACCATGCAAATGGACATGTGGCTGCCAAGAAAATATTGAGGGCATGCTAGTATTGGTTGACCATGGAAATTGATTGTTACCATTATGCCAAGACATGCCACAAATGTCAGATATATGTTGATAAGGTGTATGTGCCACCTACTCCTTTGAAAGTCCTGGCAGCACCATGGTCTTTCTCTATGTAGGGATTGGCATGATTAGGCTTATCGAACCAAAGGCTTCAAATGGAAACCGGTTTATACTGGTTGTCATAAACTACTTCACTAAACGGGTCGATGTTGCGTCTTACGCTAACGTTACCAAACAAGTAGTTGCCCACTTCCTGAATAACAATATCACATGTTACTACGAGGTTTCCAACAAGATCATTATTGATAAAGGGTCCAACCTCAATAACAAAACGATCAAAGAGTTGTGTGAAAGCTTTAAGGTTGAACACCATAACTCATCACAATATCGGCCCAAGATGATTGACAATGTTGAAGCAGCTAACAAGAACATCAAGAAGATCATTTAGAAAATGGTGATAACCTATAAGGATTTTCATGAAATGTTTCCTTTTGCGTTGCATGGCTATTGAACATCAGTTCACACTTCAATAGGGGTAAACCCTTACTCATTATTTTATGGCATGGAAGCAGTCCTTCTTGTGGAGGTAGAAATCCCCTCGTTGAGAGTGCTGGTTGAGCCTAAGCTTTATGAGGCAGAATGGATTCAAATAAGGTTTGACCAACTCAACCTTATAGAGGAGAAGCGTCTGACGATGTTGTGTCTTGCCTAGATGTCATCGCATATTAGAGATTGCATAGGTAGACATTGACATATGTATCTTTCTTGATGGGTATGTTGTGTTGCAGGTCCTAGATGTCATCGGAAGCACAAGGGTATTGATGTATTGTAGACAACGCTAGAGGATGGGGGAGATTGAGGGTTGAGGAGCCCAAGGAGGTAGAGGAGTCATAGGAGACAGTGGAGTTATAATCATTCATACACAGTAGAGCATATAGTAGTTATACTATGGATTATATTTTATTTTGACACCATGCTAATTTATCATTGTTCTCGACTTTTTTAACATTTATTGGTCTTTTATTTATATGACATTTTTGGACCATCTGGGTTTATGTACGTCATTTTTTGCATTTCGTTTGTATGGTTTAAATTTGTATCTGAATGCATGTAAACAAAACATAACATGAGGAGTTATGTTCTGATAGGCTACAGAGATACATCTCCATATAATAAACGGAGATTCATCTTTGGTACAATACACTTGTATAATGACTTTTGAATTTGATGCATAGTGTTAAATTGTTACGAAGATGCATCTTCAAAATATACTAACGTTCAATCAAAATATAGTGTGTTCGAAGATACATTTTTAAAATCTGAGAGTATTTAAATATTTTTGTATGATAGCTAAGAAACATATAGGAAGCATTAAAAAACAGTCTAATTTAAGTGGTTATATATCTTATACAAACTCATTATTAAAAACTTGTTAGTTTAAGGGATGGACTAAGTACATGGGCCTTTAGCATAAAAAGTATTTCAAAATTTTTATTAATTAATTTTTAAATTCTAAATACATTTTTAAAAATGTTTTTAATTAAAACTATTATTTATTAATTAAATTTATTTATTAATTAAATTTATTTATTAATTAAATTTATTTATTAATTAAAATATATTAAATATTAAACTATCCTAGTCAATAATGTCATCTCATTAAAAAAATATTTTATATCCTAATCATTATTACCACATGTCCAAAAATGAAGAGATCAAAAATCCTTAAAAAAAGGTAAAGTTGAAGGACAAGTTGAATTAGAGGGTTCAAAAGTATATTTAAAAACTATTTCTTTTTTGTATTTTTAAACTCCTAAATAAATATATAAAATTAGGTTATAAATATTAAAGAATTTTTCATCGCACCCCTTGCCATTCTTAGACACTATGCATTATGCCTAAAATACCCCCTGATTTCGGAGATGTATCTTCGAACGCATTTTTTTTCAGTTTTTTTAAGTTAATTTCATAAATTCATCTACGGAATATTTCCGTATGCGTATTTACGGAAGAAAACCAGAAACAGAATACCAGAAAATCAACATTACAACGATAAAATTAACATTCATAAAATAAAATCAGCGTTACATTGATGATTTCGACAGAAATTTAAATACTACATTTCAATAGCCCGGTGGATGCTTACACATCTCTAAGATGTCATCGACCATTCTTCGGACCTTCGCCTCCAACTCGAGCGGAATTTTCTCTTCGAAACCGAAATATGTTTGTCACATCGTCCTAACATCGTCTTGATTCTTGAGTTCAAACTTGTTGTAAACAATGTTCCCTTCGTTGTCAACTAAAGGTGAACGATATTCAAGCTTCACAACCTTTTGATTGTCATTGTAAGGTAGGCGATATTTGATCTCATCTATGATATCGACGAGGGAGAGAGATCCATGAGCTTGAAGTCCTCCCGGGTGTTTTGCCGTCGGAAAAGAAGACACTTACGACATACCAACGGATCTTGATTTCACACAATCACACCGGCCTTCACCAATTTTCAACCAGCGGACTCTACTTGTTCCGCCCCCACCGCGGGTTTAACCTGACTTCTCACATTCTTTGTTATGTGATATCGACAAAGTAATACATTAGAAGAAGGAAATACCTTTGCAACCGCATTCATCAACGCGGTGTCGCGGTCGGTAACAATCATTTTAGGCATCTCAACTTGGTCCTTCAAAAGTGACTGACACACCTCTAATGCCCGTGTAAAATTGTCCTCTTTTTCACACTCTAGAAAAGCAAAACCAACGGCATATGTCTTCTCGGTAGACGTAACACCAACCATCTCAAATAAAGGGAGTCTATATTTGTTGGTATTGTAGGTAGAATCAAAAATGAGCATTGTTGAAAACGTGTTGAACAACTTTATCGAATCTGGATGAGTCCAAAAAATATCTTGGACCGTAACTCCATTGTCACAAGTTTTGTACTGGGACATGTAATTGTTATTACCCAACAATTTCAGCAGTTGTTGCATCTCACTTTTATCTCCCCTAATCATCTTGTTGGTGCGGTACCGAATGTTATACATTTGCCTTATATTTGATATATTGTCGGATTCCTTTCGTTTCAATGTGGCAAGTATATTTTTCGATTTGACAAGATTCAAGGTCATGTCACTAATATATGTCTTCTTCTCTTCCGGCTTGAGTCGACATCCCTAGGATGGCCTTGTAACTTTAAGCACAATTCATGGTTATGCAAACCACAAATAACACTAAATTTTCACTTTTTGGTACTCAACATGTAACCACAAATCTTAAAAGGACATTCACATTTTTTACTATCGGTGTCGTCTCTTTTAAGCTTCCGTAGAGGAGTCTGATATTTCTCGATTCTTTCACACAACAAAGTTACAAAAGCATTTCTTCTTCCTGAACCATTATCTGATCTTCTTATAACCACACCAAAACAAAGTCTAGTTGCAGTCCTATGAATCCATGTGAGCATGATATCGCGATCATCAAACTCTTGCTTGTTATTAAAATCAACGCCGACATCTACCAACTTTACGACAATCCCTTGAACATTTGAAGAAACATCGTTTATAGAAACTAATTCTTTTGAGATATTATCGGGGTACACCATATCTATTTGTAAACAATAAGAAAAATAAACAAATATTACAAATATGTTGTAAATAAACAGGTCACAGACACGCTCCGGAGATGTACAGCTCCGAAAGCAACGTTATTTTTTTTTTCAAAAGTTTGATGATTAATATGAGCAATGTATTACACAAAGTGCAATCTTTACCTAAAATTCTATCTTCTCTTGCTCCGTTTGATTTGTTGCACGAAAAAGTTGGAAGTTTAGAGTGAAAATAATATTGAAAATGTAAGATTTTTTTGGTTGGTGAATGTGAGTTTGGAAGAAGAAAACACATAATATTGAAAATGTAAGATTTTTTTGGTTGGTGAATGTGAGTTTGGAAGAAGAAAACACAACGGAGAAAGTGATCATGCAAGTTTCAAATATAGCAGAAACTCCCAAAGATGTATCTACTAAACAATCTGACGCTTAGACGTTCTAGAGATGCATCTAAAGAAGTTTTTTTAAACAGAATTATTTTAAAGTTTTTTCCAGCGTTTACCAATTTAAAATTATTTCATAGATGTAGCTCGAGAAAAAAACAAATTTTGGCAAAAAGAAATACGTCCGGATATATATCTCCGGAAGCAGGAGGTATAAAAGAAATGTGTTAGGTGTCTAAGAATATCAAAAAGTGGATTAAGAAATTCTCAAATATTAAATATGAACTTTAGCGTGAGTTTTAATATACATTTTTTACAAAATTTCCTAAAAATATTTGTGAATAGTTTAAGTATCGACTTTTTCACTTTGGTATGATATCCATGTCTTGTACGTCAGGTCTCGCCAATGTTAGATGCTCCCACAATCCAGGTTTGGGATGCAAGTGAACCATGGCTGGACACCCATCATGGTCAATTCCTCATTCTTTCATAATCAAACAACAATAATCAACAAGTGCACATCCAATAAAAATCTTTTTTCTAAACAATAAATATGAAATCTATAAAATACATTTGTTCGATCCATCGATATGCTCTTCTATCCCAATGCCTCTCTATGATCACGAGATAAAATTTATGGTGCTGGTAATTGTATTCCAGCACATTCTCGCCGTAACTTTTAAGCATTGGATTCAACGACGAGAAATAATACCTACTGAATGCCATGTTAAGCTTTCCATTGAACATCTGAAAACGACAGCTCCCATCATTAAGAATCTAAATCTTCAATCTCAAGTAGCTTCAAAGATTCTGGACCAATAAGAAATACACGCCTCGTGGTTTGATATCTGAAAACCACTACTCCTTTATAAGCTGTCCTAGGCACACCATCCTGGGAAAAAGAGGACAATTACCCACAAAAAGAAAAAGGGAAGAAAGTAAAGGTCATTTTTCTAGTTAAGAAGGATCAAACAGTTTTGTAACATTCTATCATAAATCATGTCTAATAGTAGGTTTTTATATCCGTCTTCCATGCTAATTCAAGCATGTTACTGCATTTTCTATGCACCATCCTAACAATGAGCTAAACATGCATGCTAAGAAATGATCTCCTTATGAAGATAAGCTTAACCATCATAACATGCCTGATTTCTGACGTTGTTCAGGGATTCTTGCAGCCTTTCAATACAGACACATTTAACCTAGCTTTTTGTTTCAAATTTCGTTCATGGCTCATAACATGACAACATCTAAAGTAAAACTCGTCCAATCAGATTCTACATTGCTTAGCATTGCTTTTTAGAAGTTAAGAACAAAAATAGTCAAAATACCTTCCACTCTTGAAATACACCGAATTGCTGAGCAATGTTTTCAAAGTCCCACTGATCATTATACTTAATACGCACATCACCATCTATATTGTGTGTCTTTTGAACGATGTCTGCTCCAGAGACAGGTTTAGCTTTTTTAATATTGTTGGCGAAGTGTATATTATATTTGTCCTGAAAATGCAAAACAGAATTCACATACCACACAGCAGCATTTCGTTATAAACATGACAAAATTACAATGCACCATCTCACCTCCAACAAATAGCTCAAGTCCATTGATTTCCAGTCGACCTTCAAACAATCCAAGTTAATATAACATCATTCTAGTATAAGAAACATATTTACTGCATATTTTATAAAGCAAGATAGCTACCTGGACCTCGTTCAGCCTGATTGGCTCAAGATATTGCTTAAAAAACTGTCCCAGACTAGAACCCTGTAAAAGTTAAAGTACTTTCAGAAGGCCATTAAAAATACTCATACACTAGGATTTGAGAGTTGAGATGAGATCTACTTGATGCTGCTTTAGAGTGCCTTTATACCAACATGTGCAACTTTGTAAGTAAATATGAAGCATATCGCCCAGCACAAAAGTATTTAAGCTTTTAATGGACTAAAATATATTCTTAAAATTTGAGGTTCCTAAGGTGCATGCCTGCAAAGTTCTTACACATACAACCATGTAATACAGAAGATCAAGCTTAAAAGTACAATAAAAAACTTACATGTTCTCCAAAATTATATGTTCTGCATACTTCAGGTCTGATAAATTGTCGTCCTTTGTGATTCTCTTTTAATCTCAACCAATCGTCCCAGTAGGTAAAGTTTTGTCAAAGAAAAAATCAAATACATAGATAATATTACTGCAATAAAACAAAGTAGAATTCTGCATACAGAAATCATGTGAAAAAACGTATTGGCTTAAATTTAAAACTCTGAATGGTTAGTACTCCTTCATGGGATATATTTGTACCAGCAGTTCCTAAATTGGAATTCTTCCTCATAAAGAAATGTCTCAGACACAAACAAAAATGGTTACAGAAGTGTAAAAATTAAGGATATGCCTTTGGCCATTTTGGTGATAATTCATCCCATGTAGATCTAGCCAGCATCCATCCTAGTCCAGGAAAGAAGTCCGAGCGATAAAGTTCGTCTGCAGAATAGATCATTCAAAGTTTATCAGAATAGCAATAGTGATCTACCCACACATCATAATATTTTAGAGAACCTAAACATAATTATTTAATAAATTTACCTTGAGATAGAAGCTATCAGAAACGAGATGATTAAAAGTACAGAAAGTCATTTATATGCATTTGAGACTACTTAGGTTGTGTTGAAAATATTACAGACTTGCATTGAAATTGAGTAGTTATTCAGTGTTGAGATGAATTTTAGAAAGTTGAGGATGGCATACGCAGTTGAAAAGGAAGCATGTTCCCTTCAAATAACAATGTATACTATCCTCGGCCTACTTCGCTTTCAGAAGCATGTTCCCTTCAAATAACAGTGTATACTATCCTCGGCCTACTTCGTTTTTCATCAAAAGGTAATAATCATTAATCAGAATCTCCAAAAGTATGGGGTTTGCATTAATTTAATACTAATTGCTAGAATTAACGTAATAGGATTATTGTGAGAAAAGAACGTTATAATAAACATTTCTCAAACTGTTTCTGTATTGAATATTCTGAATCCCTAGTTAGTTACAAAGACTTACAGTTGGCACTAACTTTTACAAAAACAAATTCTGTATTGAATGCATCAAATTCATCCTGCATGGTAGCATGCCACTTAGGGTCGAGAAGAGCTTGCTTTACATTCCTTGGTTCATAATGGGTGAGAAGGGAAGGGTGAATTCTAGGAGGGACAATATCAGATTTGGCATAGGTTTGCATGGGATGGGAATTAGACGAGTTAGAGGGAATGGAAGGAAAATGCTCTAAGGAATCAGAGACCAAGAGAGAGAGGAGGTACCAAATTCAAGACCGGAACTAGGAGGATTTGAAGTGGACAGTTGAGGCTCGAGGCTACTGAAATAGTTGGAGGTACGGGACAAGCAAGGGAAGCAGAGGAAGACAATCGTGAGACCTAAAATCAAGCTTATGAGGATTATATGGTCAAAGTAAGGAAAGATAGGAACAACCAAAGACCATACTGAATGTATAATCAGGGGGCTGTTTGAACAAAACTCTGCAGGGAATTTGAAAATTGAGAGACCGTAGGAAGTATATTTATGAGATAGACAACAGTAAGGAAAGCAATGGTCCCAGTAGGTTAAGGGAAGGGAAGCAAAGCTTACCAAGCTCAATCCTAACTCAGCAATGTGTCTATGTTTAGGTTCCACCACTTTATTCTGGTGATGAGTGTGAGCAGTGAGGACAATGTATGATATACCTAAATCAGTAAGGTACTTGGTGAAAGGCCTAAATTGACCCTATGTAGTTAATCCCAAATGGCGTCGCTCGCACCAACCCCATAAAAATGCAATAGCGGATAGCAAGAATAGCCATTATTGCAAAGACAAAATCAGTGTACAGAGTAAACATAAATACTCAAATATAAAAAATACACAAATGGGAACATAACAGAACTAAAAGTAGAAAAACAAAATGATTGTTTATGAGCAAGAACTTAACAGAATCAAGAACAGAACACTACCCTAAAAGGGTTTGAATTCACATTGATAACCTTTACAAAACGGATTAAAAAATAAGGATTGAGAAATTTTGCCCCAAAACCGCTATTGCTGACGACAGCTCACATGTCAAAGGTACTGAATAGAATCCTACAACTGCTACGCTATTCTGCTATAGCGTGCTATAGGGGTGCTATTAACAACATAAATGTCACCTCCCCAATCAGCTTGAAGAGATTTTAAAGGATAGCCAGACAATAATTCATCCATAGCCTTAAATTGGTTAAAAATAATAAAGGCGTCAGACGTGGATTCCAAAAATAATTCCAGGTAAAACGAGAATACGTGTCATCAAATGTAAGGTCGCTATAAACTAATTCAAGTGGATAGCAATAAGTGGTGTGTGATGATGGTGAGTGAAGTCTGAGCTTTACCCAGGCAACAAGAAGTATAAAAGCAGAGACATCTTTATTGCAAATGAGAAGCTTACAATGACTTCATACAAGTTTTATGTAATGATTATTGGGGTGACCTAACAGTAAATAGCAAATGTTGAGAATTACAATGTAAAGAAGTGGGAATAATAGGTAACACAATTGGCATTAAAAATAAAAGAGCTAGCAGTAGGCAGGGTAAAAGCTGGTGACTTGGCGGAGACGCTAGGAAATTCAGAGGCCAACAAAACCGACTTGTTTGTTAGTTCCATGAGATTTAACATCACACTGATTAGCATGAAATTCAAAATAAATTGAGTTATCCCTAGCAAATTGACTAATACTGATAAGATTATTAGTAGTAAAGAAATGTTGGAAATAGAAAAAATACATTGTATGTTTCCCACTAAAATGAGCATTTAAGTCTTAGATTCATGTATATTTAGGTTCATGCATTTAGGAAGTTGGACTATTATTTATTTCTCCTTGTAAACATAATATATAAATAATTATATAGTGTGTGTAAATACCATAGTTGCTGAGTGTTTTATTCACTCAAGCACATTCAAAAAATTTCTTATTTTTATTTTTCACATGGTATCAGAGCTCCTAATCAAGGGGACTTTATTTCCGCTAATCATTATTTAGAGATTTGACTGGGCATTTTTATGTTGTCAGAACCCTTAAATTTTGACTGGGCAAAACTTGCTGTCAAGTTTTTCCAATTAAATACTATTTGTTCTTTCTACCCTCCATTTGCACAATTTCGTACTTCTTCCGGAAGTTGTCTGTCCAGCCGCTGTCTCTATATTTTCTGGAAGCCGTTCGTACTGTTTTCTGTCACTGTCGATACAACTCTGCACATTTTTCAGCAGCCGTGGGGTTAATTTTTTATCAAATCTTATTTTCTTTGATATCTTATACATAAATATTTAGTGGTTGCTTCTGTTACCTTTATGACCAATATCATGGAAAGATGAATACAGTGAGAGTAATTTTGTCACTTGCTGCCAATTATGGTTGGGATTTACAACAAATTGATGTGAAGAATGTCTTCTTACACGAGGAACTTGAAGAGGAGATTTACATGCAGGTACCACCGACGTATGAAAAAAATGTGTCTGACAATACAGTTTGCATGTTGAAAAAGGCGTTATATGAACTAAAACAATCACCTCGAGCATGGTTTGGAAGATTCACTAAGGTTATGACATCTTTAGGGCACAAGCAAAGTCAAGGGGGATCACACCTTGTTCATTAAACACTCGCCACAAGGGAGAGTAACAAATCTTAAGTCATTGTTTGGCTAAGGAATTTGAAATAAAAAGTCTTGGAAAGCTAAAGTGCTTCTTGGGAATTGAGGTGGCACATTCTCGAAAAGGTATTTTTATATCTCAACAAAAATACATTGCAGATTTACTCAAAGAGACAAGAAAAACTGTGTAAACCTGCGAGCGTTCCTATGGATTCAAATCTTAAACTGGGTAATACAGAAGAAGATGTTGCAGTAGATAAAGAAATGTATCAACGTCTAGTTGGGAGAATAATTTACTTGTCCCACACTAGACCCGATATTGCATATATCGTAAGTATGGTTAGTCAGTTCATGCACTGTCCTAAAGAAATCCATTTACAAGTTGTTCATAGAATTCTGCAGTATCTCAAGGGAACTCCAGGAAGAGGAATTTTGTTCCAAAGAAATGGAAAGACAGCCGTTGAGGCCTATACTGATGCAGATTATGCAAGTTCAATTGTTGATAGAAGATGCACTACAGGGTAGAGGAAATCTTGTGACTTGGAGTAAGAAGCAAAATGTAGTAGCACGTTCTAGTGCTGAAGCTGAATTTCAAGTCATGGCACAAGGCATTTGTGAATTACTTTGGCTCAAAATTATTTTAGAAGATTTGAAAATCAAATGGGAAGAACCCATGAAACTCTACTGTGATAATAAATCAGCTATTAGTATAGCACATAATCCTATTCAACATGATCGAACTAAGCGTATTGAGGTTGATAGACACTTCATCAAAGAGAAGTTTGACAGTGGGCTGATTTGCACCCCATTTGTGTCCTCACAAGGGCAACTTGCGGATATTCTCACTAAAGGATTGAGTAGCTCAAATTTTGAACGAATTGTATCCAAGCTGGGAATGGAGAATACTTATTGTTGGAAAATATTTTATTTCCATATTTAATTATTTACGTTTATTGTCATTTATTTTCTTTTATTCTCCATTAAGGAGAGAATTAAGTATTTTTATTATATTCTCATTATATAAACCAGTCTTTGGTTGAGGAATAAAATTACAACAACTTTTATCTATTTCTTCCAATATGCTATCGAAAATTCTGGGTTAGGGTTACCGTACAATTAGTGGGGTTGGAAATAGAAAAAATACATTGTATGTTTCCCACTAAAATGAGCATTTAAATCTTAGGTTCATACATTTAAGAAGTTGGATTGTTATTTATTTCTCCTTGTAAACATAATATGTAATTAATTATATACGGTGTATAAATACCATAGTTGCTGAGTGTTTTATTCACTCAAACACATTCAGAAGATTTCTTATTTCTATTTTTGTTGTAATATTAGTATTATTATTATTAGAATATGTTGAATATCATACAGCTCATTATGAGCTGCTATCCTATACAACTTATTATGAATAATTAGCATTTATAGGGAGAATAATTACACCCTTACTTAGATAGATGTAGTCTATAAATACCTCTTATGTATTCTTTACAAAATATATAAAACATTTCCATATTTCTACATGGTATCAGAGCTCCCGATTCTAGGGGCTCTGCTTCCGCGCTCAAAACACTAGTCGTTCTTATTACGGTCCTTCTTCTTTTTTTTTGTCAAGGTTCCCTTTCTCTTGGAACCCTAGTGATCTTGGTGACTTTGCAGCCATCGTGCACCGCTCAACCGCCGTTCCAGATCCGGACGTTTTCACCTTCACCTTTTTTTTCAGGACAGCCTACATTGCTGATCCTCTCCTAACAGTAGATCTCGATCTTCTCCTAGTTCGAGACGGTTTGTTTCTCTCTATGGACTCCTTGAGTAAGTTCTCTAACACTAGTTCTCTGACCATGATGGGTAAGAACTCTAGCTCCTTAGCTTTTAATGCCTCTTGTTCTAAAGATATCTGAATTATTGACTCTGGTGCAACTGATCACATGACCCCATATATGTCTCTCTTCTTATTCACCTTTACCTAATAAACGCCATATTACCGTTGCAAATGGGTCTCAAACCCCGATTGTCGGATCTGGTAACATCCACCTAAGCCCATCTCTCCCCCTAAATGATGTGCTTCATGTCCCTAAGCTTTCTAACAGTCTTTTGTCCATCCATAAACTCACTAAAGACTTGAACAGTCTCAAACCCCGATTGTCGGATTTGGTAACATCCACCTAAGCCCATCTCTCCACCTAAATGATGTGCTTCATGTCCCTAAGCTTTCTAACAGTCTTTTGTCCATCCATAAACTCACTAAAGACTTGAACTGTGTAGTAACCTTTTTTCATTCTCATTGTGTTTTTCAGGACCTTGTCACAGGTAAGACGATTGGAATTGCTGAGGAACAGAACGGGTTATATTGTCTGCCTCATAAAGAAAGTAAGTGTCATCAGGCTGGTTCAGAGTCATGGGCAAATACTCAAATATGGCTCCAACACAGGCGTCTTGGACATCCTCCTTTCCAGATGCTCAGGTCTTTATTCCCTCACTTATTTACCAAAGTGTCTGTTGATTCCTTTCATTGTGATGTGTGCCAGTTTACCAAATCTCATCAAGCAACCTATTCCCCTAGTAATACTAGGAGTGTCGAACCCTTTGATCTTGTTCATTCTGATGTATGGGGGCCTTCATCCATTTCCAATATTTCTAGGGCAAAATGGTATGTTACCTTTATTGATGACTGTACTCGGGTTACATGGGTTTTTCTTATGAAAGATAAGTCTGAAGTGTGTCAATTGTTTGTTAACTTTTTTCAAATGGTCAAAACACAGTTTGGGAAACCTATTAAACGGTTACGGTCAGACAATGGTAAGGAGTATGTAAACCAAAATTTTTGCAATTTTCTCAAAACTAATGGTGTTGTTCATGAGTTGACTTGTGTTAACACTCCAGAACAAAATGGGGTTGCTGAAAGAAAAAATCGTCATCTTCTTGAAATCACCCGAGCATTACGCTTTCAAATGAATGTTCCTAAATTTTATTGGGGGGAAGTTGTCTTGACCTCTACTTATTTAATCAATAGGTTACCTTCTAGGGTGTTATCTGGTGTTAGTCCTGTGCAGGTCCTGACTCGATTCTTTTCGTCTGTGCCCATCTTGTCAAGTCTTCAGAATCGTGTCTTTGGTTGTTCTGCTTTTGTCCATATTCATGGCCCTCATCGGGGTAAGTTAGATCCTCGGGCTATTAAATGTATTTTCATAGGATATGCTTCAGATAAGAAGGGGTACAAGTGTTATCATCCTCCTAGTCGTCGTGTCTATATATCCATGGATGTTACTTTTCAGGAATCAGAGTCTTTTTATCCCAGTCCTCCAGCTTCAGGGGGAGAATAATCAAGAAGCTGAGTCTTCAGAGTTGTCTATTCTTCCTGTTATTCCTCTAATACAGGACCTAGAGCCGTCTCCTGAATTGTCTGTTCTTCCTGTTATTCCTGTAATACAAGAGCCTTTGATGCCTAATGAGGATGGTGGTGATGTACCAATACCGGTGCATAATAATGATGAGGATGGTGGTGATGTATCAATACCGGTGCATAATAATGATGAGGATGGTGGTGATGTACCAATACCGGTGCATAATAATGTTGACAGATACAAGTTACAGTTCCAGCGAAAAAGGTGGAAAGGTAAACTCGTTCTGCCCCAACAAGTCCAATCGTCTGAACCTGAGATAAGTGTTCCTAACCCTGAGCCTAGTAATTCTTGGGAGCTAAACCTTGATGACCTATCTATTGCTTTGAGAAAAGAAAAAAAGGTCTTGTACTAAATACCCTATATCCCAGTTTGTGTCTACTGAAAAACTTTTTGTGCAGCATCAGAGTTTTATTTCAGCTATTGACTCTATTAGAGTCCCTACATCAGTACAAGAAGCATTAAAGGATAAAAACTGGATTCAAGTCATGAATGAAGAGATGCATGCACTAGAGAAAAATGGGACTTGGGAGATTATTGAGAAGACAAATGACAAGAGGCCAGTAGGTTGCAGATGGATATATACGGTAAAATACCGATCCGACGGCACACTGGACAGATATAAGGCGAGGCTAGTTGCAAAGGGATACACTCAGACCTATGGAATTGATTATGAAGAGACATTTGCTCCAGTAGCAAAAATGAACACTGTAAGAATCATTCTTTCCTTGGCAGCTCACTTTGATTCGGAGTTGCAACAGTTTGATGTGAAAAATGCTTTCTTGCATGGAGATTTGGAGGAAGAGGTGTATATGGAGATCCCACCTGGATAAGACCCTACTTCAGGAAGTAATAAGATTTGCAAATTAAAGAATGCCATATATGGGCTCAAGCAATCACCTCAAGCTTGGTTTGGAAGGCTCACTCATGTTATGGTGTCCTTGGGTTATAAACAAAGCCATGGTGATCATACTCTTTTTATAAAGCATTCTCAAAATGGTAAACTCACTCTTTTGTTAGTCTACGTAGATGATATGATCATAGCAGGTAATGATGAATTTGAGAAGATGAACTTGAGGAAGGAGTTGGCAGCTCAGCTTGAAATGAAGGATCTTGGAAAGTTGAAATATTTCCTAGGTATGGAAGTAGCATACTCAAAACAAGGCATTTTCATTTCTCAGAGAAAATATGTCCTTGACCTTCTCAAAGAGACTGGCAAGTTGGGTTGTAAACCCAGCAGAGTGTCTATAGAGCAAAACCACAGGATTGGGAGTGATGAGGAAAGTCCAAGGGTTGATAAAGCTCAATACCAGAGACTTGTGGGAAAGCTCATTTATCTATCTCACACTAGGCCTGACATAGCTTATTCGGTTAGTGTTGTCAGTTAATTCATGCATGATCCACAGGAGAGGCACTTACAGGCTGTGGATAGAATCCTGCAGTATCTAAAGATGAGCCCAGGAAGAGGTCTATTGTTCAAGAAAAGTGAGCAGTTGTCTATGGAGGTCTATACTGATGCAGATTATGCAGAGTCGATTGTTGACAGGAGATCCACCACTGGACATTGTATGTTCTTAGGTGGAAACTTAGTGACATGGAGGAGCAAGAAACAGAATGTAGTTGCCAGATCAAGTGCAGAGGCAGAGTTTAGAGCCATGGCTCAAGGAGTTTGTGAATTGTTGTGGATGAAGATCATTCTAGATGACTTGAAAATAAAATATGAAGCTCGGAGACTTTTCTGTGATAATAAGTCTGCTATTAGTATTGCTCACAATCCGGTCTAACACGACAGAACAAAGCATATAGAGATAGACCGACACTTCATCAAAGAGAAATTGGATAGTGGTCTTATTTCTACACAGTACGTCCCATCAGGACTCCAGTTAGCTGATGTGCTCACCAAAGGACTCCCCTTGGAGCGGTTTCGAGATCTTACTTGCAAGCTGGGGATGATAGATATCCATTCCTCAGCTTGAGGGAGAGTGTTGTAATATTAGTGTTATTATTATTAGAATATGTTGAATATCATACAGCTCATTATGAGTTGCTATCCTATACAACTTATTATGAATAATTAGCATTTATAGGGAGAATAATTACACTCTTATTTAGATAGATGTATAGTCTATAAATATCTCTTATGTATTCTTTACAAAATATATAAAACATTTCCATATTTCTACAATTTTTCACAAGAAACATGAAAGAGAATATGAAGAACGCTAGATAGTTGGGGATTGTGAGGGGAAAGAGAAGAGCTTGAACCAGATGAATGAATTTACAAACTTTTGCCATCTCCTGATTTGGACCTTTTCAAAGGGAGTTGACTGGTTGAAACTCACCCTTAAACTAAAAAGAAAAAAACAACACCAACACAAAAAATACAACCACGAGGCCCCCCTCAATTTTCTATTGTTAAGAGTTCCACATTAGATGAGATATAGCATCAACATATGTTTTTAAGTGAACGTAGTCCTCGCCTTACAATGCATTTTTATAAGATTGAGTTAGGCCCAACCCAAAATCTAACATGGTATCAGAGCCTCTTGAGAGGCAACTTTGTTGGTAGGGTAGTAGTAGGTGCGCATTCTACCCATATCAACCTGCAGTTAGCAGGATCAAGATTGATGTAGTTGATTAGTGCTGCATAGCAAGATTGTCATGCATCATCATATGCTTGATGATTGATGGTTATGCGTGGTGGTGGTGGTGGTGTATATAAGTTATTGTACCCCACTCATTTTATCTAATAAGTATGATGACTTACCTTTCGTTTGTTTTCTATGTGGCTACGGGTAGATGATGAAGTTACCGAAGCACATGCTGAGGAATGATCAGCATGCCGCAGTAGTTAGCTACAGTTAGCTATTTCATGCTGGTGTTGTGCAGCTGACTTGGTTTAATTAATTCAGTGTGACATCGAGATTCTACTATGCTTAGTTATTAGTAATTTCTACAATTTGTTTTGTGACTTCTTTATGTTAAAAGTTATGAATTTGACTGCATTTTACCAGGTTTTATTTTAACCTAACTGTTTTAAAAGTTTTTGGGGTAATGGGTGTCACAAGAAGTATCTTATTTAGTGATAAATAATCCATATAAGAGTTGTATCTGCGTTCAGATTTTATTATGATTTTATTTGTATATCTGTATTACTTGAATTCCTTATTTATCTAGCTGTCCATCTACAATTGATTTTTGCTGAGGTTATTCCAAACCAATTTGGCAATAACAAGTCATACAGAAACAACTGGTTGAACTTACATGGATCATGTACAAACTGCTTCTGTCCATTGTCATTCCATGACGAAACAGCCATAATGGACCTAGAACGGATAATGCTTAGTTATAAACAGAGATCTCAAGTCTTAAAAAACATGTTAAGTGAATCAGAAAAAAGAAAAAACAGCATTCCTCTTCTTGAACACATACTTATCCTTGTCAAGGAGAGTTGCCATAGCTTCAAAGTAATCAAAGAAATCAGGTGCTATTTCCATGTCATCTGCGATTGGATAAAGATGTTCTATCAGATTCCATATATTTTTCAGCAGAGAGAAAAGATGATAAAATGCATAATGTTAAATAGCCCAATTCACCTTCAAGAATGATAACTCGGCTGAAGTTATGCTTGTAGAACAGTTGACCTAGAGCCCACTTGTAATGACCTGAAAAGGTATCAATTGACCCACCTTGAGGAATATTCTTTTCAAATCTAGAACACAAAACATTAAGTGATGAAAATACCTACGTGCAATCTTGTAGTACGCAATTAACTCTCCTGGCCTTTCAGTTTGAACCGACTCAAAATCTAAGTGCTGCAACAACAATTATCAGTTCAAAGAGACTGCTTTCTCATTGTCAAACAAAGCTATGTGCCTTTGTCGAAGGAACCGTATAACTTCCCTTTTTATTTATTTTCTATATTTAGTCTTTTTTTATTATAATAATATTCTCCTAGAATATTTCTTTTCAATATGAAGTTGTAATCTCCCTATTTATACCAGCTATTGCTGAAGAACAAAATATAACAGTATTCCCTATTTACTAATAACCTTAGAAACCATTAGTCAAAAATTATTGAGATCAAAATGATTTTATCAAAATCAAAATATAGGTTTTAAAACTCTGATCACAGTGTGATAAGCACCCGAGAACTTGGGAAACCCTCTCTTAAAAGTTAGTTGTCAGATGAAATCTTAGAAATTAAGTAGGGCCTAACTGAAGTTTATTAATTTGAGTTGTAAGGTGAGGACTGCCAAAATGTTACAAATATTACACAATTCTTATCTCTGGACAATGTGTAACTAAATTTTTCCCTTCACACTCAACACAATGAAGGTGTTGGAAGCTACACAATGAAAGCAGCTAAAATGCCGTAATTAGGCGGCTAGGGGAGGACCACAATGAAGGCGGAATTTCCAACACACGCCCTCATGGTTCTGAATATTCAATGCAGAAACATTTTGAGAAATGTCAACAATCTCTTTCTCTCAAATCTAAATGGTATCAGAGCCTATCCGTTCACCCACTATAGGTGCGAGAGTGGGGAAAAAACCCTAGTTTCACATGGAATAGAGATAATTTCTAAAATGAGTTTAGAAAAGAGTGACACCCCTCACCTTACAAATCATTTTTGTAAGAATGAATTAGGCCCAAAATTTAAAACAAAATATGGTATCAAAGCAAGTACATTTGTCAATTGCTCTCCATGACCAATATGTTTGATTCTAATGATATTAACTCAGCAAGTACATTCAAGATATAGTCTCCTGGTTTACCCTTAAGAGAATATTTGTAAACGTTAGCTAAACTATGGTATTCAGTTAATGTTTGTGCCACCTGTTAGAATAGCTTGCGAGGGAAGCTTCAGCTTGTAATAGTACCTTGCATGACAAACTACAATTTGAAAAAGTTTGTAAGCTGTACCCAACTCAGATGCTGGTGGAGTTAAATCTTAGTCTGTGCAGGTTAAGATCAGCAATATGTAGCTGACAAACCTCCTTGCAACTAACTCAAGATTCAGAAGTATTCAATACAGAGACAATTTGAGAAATGACAACTATCTCCTTGTGCAAATTTAATAGTGGGCACTAAGTAGTTGCACGCGGACTTTAAGAAAATCATCAAAAGATGAGAACATGAAATGGAGAATCAAATGGCATAAACTAACTTGAATTTTGAAACAATAGCATACCAAAGTGACAGCATGAAATGAGAAAAGAGCGCTTCATAAATAAATAATGAAAAAAAACAAGATGCAGGGGAATCGTGAAACTTGGAAAAGTAAAGCCATAAAATCAGCAAGACCAAGAAGAAGAAAAAATGTAATGGTGAGGAGAAATAGATGGTTGAGAAGCAAGAAGACAACAACCCCTTGACTTTGTGGATCAATACTCAGAAATCAAAAGCACAATCAAGTTGCAAAGATGGAATACAAACAATAGTAGTGTAGAAGAAAACAAGGGGAATCAAAAATTGAGTAAAAAGGAATAGTGAGCCATCAATGGAGATGAAAATTGCGACAAGAAGAAAAGAAAGCTGAGAATAGGAGTAATTAATTCTAGAGGAAAACGAGGAAAGATGAAAGGCAAATGATGAACGTGGAGGTTAAGGCTTTATCCAACAATGTAGCAAGGGGATTCAGCAAAAGCCAGTATAATAGTTCAAGGCATTTATTATCCAACAACGCAATGATCAAATCACAGTATATATATAGCAGGCTTTGTAAGGTTGATTCATGCCTAACTACAATTCTAAAATGGTATCAAAGCCTCGTTCAAGATTTGTTGGGCCACCTGCTATCAAGTTTCCACTATAGGTCAAAGAAATCAGAGAAATTGAGTATCTCGCTATCTCAGCTTGCATATTATTTTATTTATTTATAGCATAATTTCAATCACCGAAAGAGCTAATTAGCAATAATTAACTAATTTACAGTTTAGTGCAACCATCATAATTACAGCTGAGTATAAATTTACACATTTCGGAGTAACACAAAAGACAAGTAACAGCCTTTGAAAGTATGTGAATACAAATAATCTGAGCTGATTCTCAAAGTATAGCACATGTATATAAATGTATATACCTGCATATAAGATAGCTCATCATAGCTCAAAGCCTTACTTTTGACATTTGAATTTGATCCATCCTGAATAATAAAAAGTGATTATCATCAGCTGTTTGAGTTGTATTTGCATTTGCAAAATAATGACAATGTCTCAATCATTGAGAGAGACACCAGAAACTCCTAAAAAAAGTGAAGACAAAAAATACCTGAGATACAAATAAAGGAAATCTTGACGAAATGGCCCTTTGGTATCTGAAAAGTACATAGATCATGTATGAACTGGATAAATAAATTGTTGTATAATCAAGTATAAAATACAAGTAAACAAGATAGGTTGTGATGAAGCATACTTCAATACAGAATTGATAGTCCTCTCCAGGTAATCAGCACGATTACATGCCATGATCACAACAGCTGCCACTGGAACCTAAAAAGTTCAGCATGGAGAATCACATAAAGCCTAGACGAGAAATTGAAGATTCAGTAAACAGCCAACTCTCAGCCTAACCTGCACTTTATCGATCAGTCTTCTTACTTCTTTACCTGAAATGTTTATTTATAAAATGGTAAATTTCAGGATACCCTTTAGACCAAAAATTCCATTTGAGATTGTTCACAACATACTTTTGATAAGATGAACCGCTAAATATGTTAATATGAAACTAACAATACAAAGTGAATACTATGTACATGCATGGTTCAAAAGAAATAAATAAATATGTTATAATGATTTTATTATAGATTATGGAACTGCTAGTCCTGTTATTGAAGGCAGGCAATAGTTTATAGCAGCAAGCCACAAATTCACCAAAAAATAACTGTAGATGGCATTGAAGCCTTTGAGAGAACATGCCGGCAACAATAAAAATATAATATGCTCAGACACACAGACATATATATAACCAAAAAAAGTGCATAATATAATAAGCAAAAAAAATGTAAACTAACAACATATGCAACAAAAATAAACTCAAACTATTATAAAAATGGCATAAGAGTCAAGCTGCAGGAAAAAATAGAAAAGGATACAAAAATCAACTAGCTGCTTGAATAGGACAAAATAAAGAAGAAATCACAATTGTATAGGATGGATAGAAAAAATTAAAAGAGAAAAGATGGGAGCTAGCGGGCTAATGAGCTAAATGCAGAAAAAGGAACAGAGAACAAAAATAAAATGTGTCTTCACTAGAATAAGAACTGCTGGAGAATGGAGGTTGCTGGAGAGGATTCCAAGATATGGGAGCTCGCGGGCTAATGAGCTTAAAGCAGTGAGTATGAGGCTCAATAGTTTAACAGATGAAAAACCAAAGAGGCAAGACTATTTGATAACAAAAATACAAAATTGTAAACTCGCACCTCTACATTATGCAGAATGCAAATAATAAGCTCAGTTCTTCAACCTTAAAATGATTGTTATTTGCTAATATGTATGAACGTATGAACGTTACACTATTTCTTGCATTCCTATCCCCAGCCAAAATAAATAAAATAAAAAATATAAAATAAAAAAAATAATCAAAGCTTTTAGAGAAGTTATATTTCTTTGATTTTTTTCTCATTCTATTCTGAAGCATTTTGAAAATAAATGTTGATCAGTCACCAATAAGCATCCTCCCCGTCATGCGTTGGGATCATCTTTAAGAACCAATACCCAGTGGGGATGTGAAAACCTAGAGTTTTAATAGAAAGAGAAGCGAACAAACCCAGTATTTGAAACTTCTTTTTTTGCCAATGAGTATAAAGAGTATTTGTAGTTGAAGGTAGCACAACAGGCCACCTCCTCATCTACTATTTGCTCATACTCTCACTCTACTTCTATTGGATAGGCTTTGGATTTATCTCTCTCACTCTACATCTATTGGATAGGTTTTGGATTTATCTCTCTCACTCTATACATCTATTGGATAGGTTTTGGATTTATCTCTCTCACTCTTACATCTGTTGGATAGGTTTTGGATTTTGGTGCTTCAGATAACGTGACCGGAAATTCCTCAATTTCTTCTAAATTATCAACACACCTAAATATCCACATTATATCAATTGTCGCAGATGGGACTAAAGTTGAAGCAACTAGTGTTGGAAGAGTTTCACCTATCCCATTACTCTCTAAGTTCTGTTTTGTTGATTCCTAATTGTCCCTTCAATTTGATTTCTATAAGTAGACTAGCTCACTTCTTAATTGAATCAGATATTCGATCTCAAGTTACATCTTATCCTACTTTTTCTAATTATCTCACCCTAACTATTCCAGCTAATCAACTGATTGGGTAAAAAATTCTTCATAGGTAGTGTATTCACATGTTTAAATCATTTCAAGTCCATGTTCTATCAGTAAACAAATTTTATTTTCATACTGCACAGAATGCACTGCTTGTCTAGTGCATATGTGATATACCATCACACCGAAATATCCTATCCTATAAATTTTAAATTTAAAAAGTCAAAAAGGAGCGAAAAAACTCTTAGAAATAAATGTTTAAGGATTCAACCTAAATCGCCAGTTTAAGGAATCAGCATCTATACTTGCCTTCTTTATTTGTGCAATGACATTTATTTAAAGGAAAGAACCTGACTATTTACATCAATGAAATATGAGATATAAAAAACAAATATTAGAATTCAGTATAGCAAATATTGTTTGTAATTGCCCTTTCGTTTTTTTGGGTAGTAAAAATTAGAAATTTTAAATATTCCACAATAGAAGTGCAATTGTTAGACTATCATGGAACAATAAAATGCTCCAACTCACTCTGATATCATTTTTTATACAAACTAATGCTGTATAGCAACTCAATATGCAAATACATCATGCTACAAATGCAACAAGAATATAATTCATCATTCTTTTGAGTAAACAAGGGTCTGAGCCATCATCGCATGACTTACTCAAACTACGAATATGAACTAACTAAAATGTCTATGATCAACTCATTATCAATTTAAATGCAAGTTCGACGGCCAATCTAAAATTTAGTCGCATCTCTATGACATTTATCAAAGTACAAGCCACATAGAAGAAGTAAAGAAACCAATACCCCGCCCACACCCAAAACAAAAGAGAGACCTTATTAATGATTATAACATACTTTCAAGATCTTGAACAAGAGACTTCATTTGCCCACATTCTTGGTCTCGGCGCTTCCTTTCTTCTGAAAGAATTCAAGACAAAACACATTTTAAGTGACAAAGTGTTACATGCAAAGTAGGCAAAAGATTAAATAAACCAAAATAGCACTTGCTAATGAGCATGGGCCCACATACTCAACTATTTACCCTATTTAATCAATAACAATAGTTTTTATGAAAAGGGCTCAAGTGTCTTCTAAAAATTTGGGTTGACTCTAACTCTACCCCGAGAAAATGGCTTGTAAGGAAAAGGGTGCCTATCACTTATAACCACTATTTAAACCTATTACAATATTAGATGTGAGAGATATGTAACTCTAGTATCTTTTAGTGGCTTCCTCTCCCTTTGTTGCCTTGTCTGCATAACTAACCAAAAGCTAATTATGATCAAGTGTAGGTTAGGCCACTCAAGGTGTAGGAATAGGCTAGATATATAACTCAAAGGAATGAAACAATTTTCTCTCATTTTACATGGTACCATATAGCCTTTAGATCTATGGAAAACGAATCTCCTCCAACTACACCACCACCTTCGGCATTATGTGTTGCTCCGTTGCAATCAGTAATGTTCTCCACTACCTCAGATCTTCCTAAGATCACATTCAAATTCAAGATTTTAAAGAAAATGGACGAGAAAAACTTTCTCGTACGGTGTCAACAAGTTGAGCCTATGATCAAAGCTTATAATCCTCAATCATTTCTCTTCTTCTCTGAGAATCCTCCTCAATTTCTTTCGATTACAGGTCAAAACAAAGGAATTGAAAATCATGCATTTCATCCTAGGATCACATTGGACCAATGGTTGCTCTCATGGCTTCAATCCACAGTGCTAGTTCAATCATGACTAGAGTTGGTGGTTGAGTACATAATTATTACCTTTGGGATCACATCTACGCTCATTTTCAAAAGCTCATTTATTGTCGTGTTCGTCAACTTTGATCTGAGTTGTGAGTAACAACACCGCTCTAAGATCGCTTTGTGGCAGAATATCTCTTTTGCATCATGGTGTTAATTGATTCTTTGGCTTCCATAGGTGATCATCTTTATCCCTTACGGCACATTAATGTGATCATGATGGTCTAACTACAAGAATTTAGTCTTGTCATATCTGCTATTGATAGTAAATTTGAGTTGGTGCGAGGAAGTTGAAGTTGTCCTCCTAGCACATAAAATGCGTCTTGAAAAATCAAGAAACTCATTATCCTTGACACGCTTAAATCAATCGAACATAAGCAAAGAATCCTATTGATTCTTCTCCTGCAAATGCATTTGCATCTCAAGTTAGACATTGCAATCCAAAGACAACAATGCCTTAAGGCTCACCTTCTCTGACTATGGTGGTGTAGAACACGGTCGTGGTCTTGGGGACATGGGGGTGGAGTTCAGCAATATGGAATGTCATGTTTGCTTCAAGTTTGGTCATACAGTTGCCATGAGCTACCATCCCAACCTCTGACTTGCAAAGTTAAACGAGTCTTTTGCCTCCTTATGCAAACTCAAATGCACCTAATGGTTTCTCACATGGCTTTACCAACAGATGGTCTCGCCATCTCGCCTGCAGCCTCCCCCTTGCCCCCACCATGCTTGAACTTTCCCTACCTAAACCTGATGTTATGATCACCAATACTCCTTCCATCCCCAATCCACAATCCATTATGGTTCCCTGACTCTGGTGCAACATATCATATTACCAATAGATCCCAAAACATGAGTAGATTTTCATAGGCAATAGCCAAGGTTTGCCTATTCGATCTTCTAGCTCCTTTTATTTGCCCTCTTCTAACCCTAATATCCCTTTAGTTTTAGTTTTGCACAATATATTTAATGGTCCTTCCATTACCAAAAATCTTACTAGTGTTTGCAAATTTGCCAAAGATAACTATGTTTATTTTGTTTTTTATTGTAATCATTGTGTTGTTAAATCTTAGGCCACTTATGCTGTCTTGTAAGCAGGTTCAGGAGGACCAGATGCCAAATGGTCTCTCTGAGTTTCCAAGTCTTCAAATCTTGCCTCTTGTTTAGTTTCACACAACACCGATAACTCTCTTAACTCTCTTGTTTGTAACTTTTCTAATAATCATGCTGACATTATGTCACCTAGCTATTATTTATATTGGCATTTAAGGTTATGTGATCCTAATCAAAATACTTTACATATTGCTCTTCAACAATATAACATGTATTGAAAATAATAGAAAACCTTCTAGGGAGACAATGCGTCCTTGTTGCAAGCTAATCTGGTCAATGAGTGATTGCATTTGACTTGTACAGTGATTTTCAGCTTCGATCTGTGAAATAAAAGACGAATGATGATATGAGAAAAATGGAAAATAAAAAAAGATTGATCTGAAAAATGATGGAGTTGAGTTACAGCAGCAGCAAGGCGATCAGCATATTGTGATTGTGTTGAGAAAAGTCTCATCTGAACAAGTTAGAAGGAGATGTTAGAATAATAATGGGAAACGGAAGTCTCATCTGAACAAGTTAGAAGGAGATGTTAGAATAATAATGGGAAACGGAATCAATTAGGGTTAAGGAGACAATACTTTACCTGGATGTAGATGAAGACGGCCGCTGCAACAAAGAGAAGTAACCGAAAATCACACAAAAATTTCGCCATATGCTTTCGAACGAGTTCCTCTCCCCAGCACCTCTTTAGAGATGGATCGTCTACTCTACTGTGTTTTGTCTACCGGAGATGGATCGTCTGCTCTACTGTGTTTTGTCTACCGTAGATGGATCGTCTACTCTACTGTGTTTTGTCTACCGTTGACTATTCTCAGCCGTTGGGTTAATCTAAAGGCAGAGAGACAAATGCATTGAATCAGACGAGACGAGAGAGAGAGGAATGATCCACATTGCCACAACAACCAGCAATTAGCTAACAAATAACAGAATCAGTACTTCGAGTGCCGTTCACAAAAGAGGCGTGGCCATTCATTCCTTTACTTGACTCTGCAATTTTCTTCAATGGCTAAAAGTCTAAAATATGATCATTCTCATTTAATTCGTGTTATAGGCCTCTATTTTCTAAGAATTTAATTGGTATCCATCTCAAATTGATAAATTTTTATTGGTTGATAGTATAAAAATTATTTTATAAGGTTGATATATTAATTAAATTCATTTTATAATAGGTTTAAAGATAGTGCAATGTCAATGTGTAACACGTATTGTTATGTAATATCAGTATTGTTATGTAAGAAGTTTTACACATGTGTTATCTATGATTGTCATATAATATTAATATTTTTAAATTAAAAATATATTTTATTCTAATACATAATTGTAATTAGTTGGCAGTGTAAAATATTTTATAGAATGCATTTTCTTTTTTATCTTTTGTAAAATTAGGTAGGTAATAGTTGATAACCCATGAGTTAAATTTGAATTTAAGTATATTAATTGATATATTAGATAATAACTACAAAATGACATAAATTATATTTTAATTTATGAAATTCATATTTTATTATTTTATTGTATTTTATTATAAAAATATTTTTTATTTAATAAAAATAAATATATGAAATATATATATATATATATATATATATATATATATATATATATATATATATATATATATATATATATATATATATATATATATATATTATAATAAAATTTAACGTGATACATGAAATAAAAATATTAAAATTTTCAATTTAGTTATATTAATCTAAAATAATAATGAAAATAAATTTATTATTTAATATTCTATAATCAAACTGCAATAATAATGGTGTGATTTCTAACCTTGAATGTGCTCTAAAAGATGTGAAAACACATGAGAAATGAGTGATGAGCAAAAATGAAATTATTCTTCTAGATTGTGCTACTAAGATCACCTCAAAGTAATCACAGCCTATGAGTGATATGTTACCATAAAATGATGAAGAGGCAAACTACATATGTATTTATCATGATATCTGCTGATATGGATATGGAAAGTACTCTCCTAAATTGCCACTAGAATGCCACTTTTGATCTCAACATAAGAGACTATGAGGATCTGATGATATCTGTAGATTGTTCAAAGAGGAAAATGAAGATGTCACTCTAAATGTGCCAGACATCATGAGTAACATGGTGGTAACTAAGATACCTACTCAGATGGAGAATGAGAAAACTATTATTTATAACTGTATGCATAAACTAGATGCTTAAACAAATGCCTCAGTCAGGAGGTCTAACATCCAGATAAGGTTGAATGCCCAAGAGATTCTCACACTCAAAGTGTCTTTCTTGGTTGAAGAAAGTCTATAGAAAAAGTATGTGGTTGTATCATATAAGAATATGTCTTGAAAAGGAGATGACAAAAGGAGTTTTGACATTTAAGGAAATGTAACAGTTGTTGAAGGAAATCTATGTGACAAACAAGGAGTTCATCATGTTAAGTCACGAGTGTAATAAAATGAGTACATCTAATAGATGATCTCTTATTACCAACAACATCATATCCTAACACAACGAGGAATGAATTGATGTGATTGTACCATCTGATGAAGCTAATCTATCTATTACAAGGAGTCGTTGTAAGAAGTTATTTTGGGAGTGTAATATGGGACAATATGTCATGACATTTGTCTCTAACATATTTTACTCATTAGATGCAGGCAACTTTGAAAAAGGGTTTTGCATTTGTGATAGTCAATAGCAATCAATATTGGGGAGTTGTGCTAAAAGAAAAGTTCCTCTCCCCTAAGACCGTTTTGGCACAGAAAATAAGGAGGATTAGTGTGAGGTATAACTAGGATGTCGTTACAAGAAAGAAAAAAAACATTTTGCTTTATCCTTCTCTCAGATTATAGATCATTCTCTCGACATGAATCAAAATCAAGATAGTGGGAGCAAGTACAACACCCTAAACCCCAAAACTAATATAAAAAGAATTACTCTGCATATTTAGAATGATACTCTCAAACAACATGCATACTTCACATTTAAATCAAAACACTCGCAGCAAAATTTCAAATAAATATTCATAAACTTCAAATATCTCTAAAAGTCTAAATACGAAATCAAGATATCATCTTCCTATAATTGACTAAACAGCAAAATAAAATAAAATTCCTTGTTATTGATGTTACAAATTAGAGCATTTAATCGACTAAAAACGATAAATGATAAAGTAAATGAAGATGGGCTTCAAGGTTGTCTTCCAACTCACAACAGTCATTACTCTTATTCATGAGTATCTGTGCATATCGTCTATTAAAACACAAACAAAACAACAAAGGGGTGAGAATACGCTCAAATATGTTAGTGGTGCAAAAGATCGGGAAGGGTAACCTAAACAACAACGACGATAATCATGAATAGATATTGTATTCACACAACAACCATCAATTCGCAAATGCCAAATTATATGCATTGTGATAACACATTGAATCTATATGCATGTGGTACCAACTCAATGATGTTTTTTCATACAAACAGGGTCACAATATCTGAATCCTGAGCCCTTTCATTTGAGCTCCGGACAAGTCATCAGTCCCAATATTTGTACTTTTGACTCGTCTCTTTCACAACAACAATAACATATGATATATGCCATACAATAATTCAATTAAAACGACATGACAATGATTACATCCCCACATCAAACTGTAACTAATCATGCATCTAAATGCATCAATAGTAGTTCTCACTTCAAACTACGGATCTCAACAATCATCAATAAGTATTTATAACACATTATATAATTATGCATGCACTTCATAACATATATTCAAATATCTAATAAATATCCTTATAGCACTCAATCATATTAATTCATATTATCATCAATTCATCATTAATTCCTTCATTCACTATAATTAATTGTTCGTTCTTTACCGTCAAACATTACGCAGGAAGTAAAACCATTAAATTTCACATATTTCAGTACTCAAATAGCCTCTTAATACACCATTAAATATCTAATGCCTCAAACCCCACCTCATTTAGATTTATGGAACTAAGGTTATGGCAAAAACGATCGTAGAAAATAATAAATTTCATCTAAGTTTCTATTAAGTAATTTTCAGAATTTTCAGGGTGTCAATCGATTATAAGGGAGAGTCAATCGATTGATCTGATTTCTCCAAGCATTATGTTTTTCCTATTTTTCACGTTTTGTGTAACACCCCGTTCCCCAAAATAAAATAAAACAAATAAAATAAACACATATCAGAGTTTCTCCCTCAAAAACGGGATGTCACATTTCACCAAACATTTCTTAAATGATTTTCCAATAGAATTGCAGCGGAAAAAGAAGTCTGTCATAAACACATAATATATATATATATATATATATATATATATATATATATATATATATATATATATATATATATATATATATATATATATATATATATACATCATCAATATCATCATCATATTCAACACAACAAGATACGCCACAGGGGCACACAAAATCATCAATAAACATGAAAACTCCCAAAAAGCCCCGGTGTTACGTATCAGAGCAATCCTATGACACTGCCACATCCAAGCTAGCTAAACACCTGGATGGTTTGTACTTCTGAAGAAGCACAAACCAAAACAACAACAGAGGGGTGAGAAATCACGATCAAATCATAACGGTAATAACTTACATGAAATAAAAGGTAGAGACACATAAAATATTCATTCATATACATCAATCCAGACCTACTGTCCCATGCCAACACAACACTCAGAACCATGCAAATATATGCAACACAACCCATGATATGCGGTACCGACTCAACATCACTGGTTCGTCAACCATCCTCAGGATAGATCGCATACGCTCCCTCTAAGCAACGATCTATCCCTACCACGCTCCCCATTTGGAGCCCTGGTAAATCACACTCAGGATAGATTGCATCCACTCCCTCTGAGCAACGACTATCCCTACCAGTCCCTTCCGGAGCACCGGGAAAATCACACTCAGGATAGATCGCATCCACTCCCTCTGAGAAACGATTTATCCCTACCACGCTTCCCATTTGGAGCACGCGAGTGAATCACATACGCTTCATCTGAGCAATGATTCACCCCGTAAACATGCATATGCAAACCCCATGCACACAACAACACTAGCACACACAGTGCACGCGGTCCCCTGACCACATCTCATCACATACCATATGCATATATATATATATATATATATATATATATATATATATATATATATATATATATATATATATATATATATATATATATATATATATATATATATATATATATATATATATATATATATATATATATATATATATATATATATATATATATATCACGCATCCTCATATCCATGCATACTAACATACATCAATTCAATCATTCAAATTAAACAAGTATTAAGCATTCAAGCTCTACATCACACATACACTCTCATTGTTCATCCCCAAATATAGAATCAATCACAACCAGCAAGGGTTACACAATACAAGAGAATGGAACAGCACATCACAAAAATTGAAAAAAAATGCTATCATGCTCGCTAGCTCACTCGTTAGGCGAAGCATCAGCGAGCACCCTCGCGAAGCCAAACAGAAACATTCTGGGAGCACTCGCTACCCAGTTCGCCCAGTGAACACCCAACGAAGGTTCGCTAACAGCTCGTCCAGCGAAGCAGCT